CTCCACTCAGCCCGGGGGGGAGGCGCTCCCCCCAGCCAGCAGGGACCCAAGGTGCCCAAGCATCCGCATCGCCCTTGCACACTCTCTATCCACCACTTGTCACCCACCCCAGCCTGTGCCACCTCACCAGCCCCGAGACCCTTGGGCACTGCCACAGCTCTGGCATCCCCATGCACGGACCCTCCCGGGTGCAGCTCACCCTCTGGGGATTCCCTGGGACAGGACTGTACCCCAGCGAGCTGGGAGCCAGGGCTGAGCAGGAGCAGGGCTGTGGGAGCCCATCCCATGGGAGGGACCCAGGAGGCAGCAGGAGGGCTGCAGGGTGCTGACGAAGCTGGGCTCAGCCCCAGCTTGCCCTGCCCCAAGGGGCAGCCAGCACCCAAGCTCCTGGCAAGTCATGATGCCAATCACTGCTCCCTTCACAGGGCCAGAGGACACAGGCAGTTGCCTGGCTGGGGAGCTCATCCCTTGTCCAGCTGGTCCTCCAGAGCTGGGGAAGGCCATGGGGAGAACATTGGGATACTCTGCCAGGTGACTCCTGTGTGCCTCAGTTTCCCCACCCTGCTGGCATTGTTTCTCCCAGGGGCTCCGCGGGGTGATCTCCTCCCAGGCTGGCTGGGGAAGGTGACTGCACAGGGATGTGGTCACAGGAAGGAGGTGCTGGGAGGAACGGGAGACTAGGAGGAGAGGCTCAATTAGCCTGGACTGCGGAGGACGGTGTCTGCCAGCACTGCTGGCAAGGCTGCGGAGATTTGGAGCTGGCTCTGACCTGGCTGTAGCACGGGTGACAAGCAAGGCGGCACTCAGGACAGACAGCCCTTGCCACAGGCCAGACAGTCCCCTCCAGAGGGGAAAAGCCCAGCAGTGAGCTGTGTGTCCCTGGGCTGTGGGCATGAACCCACATGCCAGCGCTCCAGCTGGGAGCGAGAGCAGCCTGTCCCACTCTCACAGCCTGGAGGGATGGCTGGGGCACCCAGCCACCAAAGTAGGGGTTACTGCTCCATGTGGCCGTGCCATCCCCCTGGACAGGGCTGCCCCCGCTTCCCATGGAGCCAGGAACAGCCCCCAGCACTGGCATAGGGGAGAATGGCCCCACTGCCAGCTGGTCCCCATGCTGTGGACCCTGCCAGCGAGCAAAGGAAGCTGTGGCAGTTGCATGGTGCCACATGTGCCCGACTTGGAGAGAGGAAGGTGCCCAATGGCTTAGACCCTGGCAGGCCCACCAGGCTGCAGGAGCAGCCTGCTGCTGCCTCCCCTGGGGATGGGAATGGTCCCAAGGGTCTTTAGGGGGGGAGGGGGCAGGATTCCCCTGCCACAAGCAAATAGCTTTCTTGCCCACATGGCCGGGCAGGAAGGGGCTGTCCTCCAGCTGCAGAGGAGACCTTGAGTCGCACTGCCTAGCACACCTAGAGCCCCGCATCCCACTGCACAGGCCCTGCTCCCCTTCCCTCTCCAATCCCATCCATTCCCCAGGCTCAGCTACAAGGGTGGATGTGTGTGTCCCCAGCTCTACTCTGTCCTGCTCCCATCCCGTCCCTGGCCTGACCCACATCCTCCCACAGACCCAGGCACAGCCTGGCACCATGCTCTCCACCACCCAGCCAGACTTGGGGCACCGTGCCCATCACCCTGCTGTCCTGTCTGGAGCAGCTCTCCAGGGGCAGAAGCCTGGGTCTTTCCCCGCTGCAGGTGCCCCATGCAAGGCACATGTGATGGGGACGGGGTTTCACTGGGTTGCGCAGGGATGGGACAGTCCCTGGGTATTACTCTGCAGTGCCAGGCAGTGAGAGAGGGGAAGCCTTTGCCACAGCCCCATGCTGGGCTCACCGAAGTAAGTGTGGGGGAGAGCCACCGACATGTGGACATATGGGTGCAGGGCTGCCACATGAGCCCCTGCTGATGCAGAGCGGTGCCCCCTCACCCCCAGCCACAGCCAGGCAATGGGTGGCTGTCCCCAGGCCACTGGCAGGGCTCTCCCTGCTCTGCCTCCCCTCCAGCTCCTGCTCCCTGCAGCTTGGCCCATTCCCCAGGTACCCCGCTGCCCCATCCAGCTGCAGCTGAAATCCCTCCAGGCTGGATGGAGCCTTTCCAGGAGGAAACAATGTTCCTGATTAGAGACAAAAGGCTTTTCCCAGCAGATCCGGTGCTTGGTGCCATGGGGAGGGGATGCACAGCCCAGAGCCAGGCCATTTTGGGAAGGGGGGGAAGGGAGGGATGCCCAGGCTCTGCATGGTGGATGGGAAAGGCCTCACGGTTCCCAGCATGCTGCTGATAGCACCGAGGCCCCAGCATGAAGCTCCACCTGAGGTTTGAGGCTATGGGGTCCTGCTTGTACGCAGGGCAGAGCTCAGCCTGTCTTGTCCCAGCAGAGCCATGTCCTGGCTTGTGTTGTCGCATCTGGTGGCAAGGTCACCCCAGGAGCTGCAGTCACCCCAGGGTGCCTGCTCAGCATGGCTAAACCTGGTGACATGAAGCCAAGATGCCAGGCAGGGGTAGAGGTAGCAGGAAGATGGGAACAAGGCAGGGGGTGCCACGGGCACCCACACAGGGTGCAGCCAGGCAGCACAGGGACAGGGTGCTGGCCCCATAGCAGGGATGCAGCATGTAGGGCTCATCTGTCCCCACACACAGCTGTGGCTGGCAATACCCTACAAGGAGGGTGGGATGGGACTGGGAAGGGAGCTGTGGCACAGGCAGGGGGTTGTGAGGTGTCTGGGGCACCGCAGGTGGGGAGATGCTGTCCCCAGGGCTCCTCATGTACCCGCATATACATCCCCAGCCCTTGGCCCACATCATGGGGAGGGTGGGAGCTGGCTCTTTGTGCAGCCACCCCATCCTGCATGCTACAGTGACATTGCTGCCCACCACACCATGTACCCCAGTGATGTCATGCTCCACCACTGCAGCAACATCCCATCCCAGGCCACAGTCACCTCCAGCACCGCTATGACATTGCGTGACATCGTGCAGCAAGGACCTCATCACACCCCAAAGGCACCCCAGAGCAGTGACAACATAGTGACATCACAGCAACCCATGACATCATGCTGCATGTGCCCCAGTAACATCATATTCCCCTTCCTGCCATTCCCAGGCTGCCACATCTGTACCCACCAGGGCAGAGGGCAGGCAGGAGATATCCTGCAGACCAGCGGTCCCTTTCCCACAGCAGCTGTGCTGCCCAAGGGATGCCAGCAGTGCCCCCTCCACGGCACTTCAGCCCCAAGCAGCCCAGCCCCTGCAGTGCCTCTGCTCCGGTCAAAGCCTGTGAGCCCTGGTCCCACTGCCCTGGCTGCTCACTGCTGCTGTGGGCTCAGCACTGCTCCCTCCCATACCCCTCTCGCAGACCCTGGCCTGTGCATGCATCCCATCACAGATGCTTCTGACAGGCACGAAGCCCCCAGCTGCTGGCTGTCCCATCCCTCTCCCCTCCCATGCAGGACTCCTCAGCGCCGGACCTGGCACGCTGGGGCTCAGCCAGCAGCAGCTAATGCAGTGTGGAGATGAGCAGTCACCTTAGCCTCTGAGCTCAGCCCAAAGGGACATCAGGTCCTTGCGGGGCTCGGCTGCGGCCACCTGCTCCCAGACCCACCAGTGCACAACCAGCC